GGGGGCTTCTTCTGGTAGCAAGGAAATTCTCACTACGTTGACATCCTATACTAACTTTTCTGTTATCATGTAATCAGTCATGAACAAGGAGGGAGATGAATAGTGCTGCCTTTTGGTGTGTTTTCCACTTGCCTCCTTTTATTCACTGCTTGAATTCCAGTACAAGGTGCAACATTAGGGGATGTTCTTATTGTGGAATGTTAGCAGGTATATTTAGAATTGATAATTTAGAACTGCATCAATATGATAAGGATTGCCAACTTTAATCAAACAAATCATTTGTGCAGAAAAAAAATGACTCCCAGTTGATTAGTGGTCTGAAAACAAATTTAAAGCAGTATCTTTACTTATAAAGCAATTTGGTTAGAGCTATTTTATACACATAAAATGAAGTATTCAAATTATCAGTATTACAAAAGACTTACATCTTTTTTTTCTTTGTCTCTCAAATATCAGTCATATTCATATAATGATAATTATTTGAGCTTTGTCTAAAATAACTCGGATATTTGAGTTGTATGTAATTGTGTCCATTTTCTGACAGTTAAATTTCTAGTGAGATGGGCTTCTCTTTCCATGTTCTCCAAACCTCTCCAGATGGTTGGGAGATTCTCTCTCTTTCTCTTTTTTTTAAATAATAATAACTTCATTAAATTTTTAAAAAGACACAATGAAAACTAACAAAAACTAATATTAAGAGAAAGAATAAAAAGAAAAAGAAAATTAAAAAAAGAGAAAATAGTAAAGATCAGAAGTACAAAAAAAGAGAAACAAAGGAAAACAAGAATTGACTTCCAACCCTCCTTGCAACAGATATAAGTAATAATATACATCAAACTCTTACTCTAAATTTAAAACTTAACTTTCATTATTTCTATTAACCCATATTATGTCTAAATCATCAAATCCATACAACATAATTTCATTTTTCTTCTGTTTCTCGCAAAAAGTCCAAAGAAGTTTTCCAGTTAGCATTAAAATTACACAATGTCTTATCTCGAATCAAAGCTGTCAATTTCACCATCTCAACCAACTCCATCAGTTTCACCATCCATTTTTCCACTGTAGGCAATGTCTTATCTTTCCACCTCTATGCATATAAAAGTCTTGCTGCTGTTATCATATATAAAAGCGAAGTTCCGTGAGTTTTTTCCAACTATTTATCTACCCAAAAGGAAAGTCTCTGGTTTTGATTGAATATTAACCTTCGAAATACCGTGTATACAAATATGTATCTCATTCCAGAGGGTTTGTTTGTTTTGTTTTTTGCTTTTTTACAAGTCCACCAGAGATGATAAAATGTCTCTTCTTATTCACATTTCCAGCATACATTTGAAGTACCTTTATATATTTTAGATAATTTTTCTGGCAACAAGTACCAAAGATACATCATTTTATAAAAATTCTTTAATTGTTATAACACAATGTAAATTTCAGTCCTTTCTGCCACATATTTTCCCATCTGTACATTGTAGCCAAAGTTTTTAGCCCTTAACTTGTTCGGTCTTTGGTTTCAATAAAAGTTTATACATCTTTGCAATAACATGTTCATCATTAGTACATAATTCTGCTTCAAATTCACCATATCTTACCATATTCAAAACCATAAGCCCTTTTATCTATTTTAAAGCTTACTTGTAATTGTACATAAGAAAATCATTGACACATGTATCCTTCTGATATCAATTCCTCTTGTCTTTCATTTAAAATCTCTTTGAGAAAATTCCAATATGGCACCTTAAGTTAACCATTTATTTCTAGTTATCATTTCTCTTCTATAAAAAGTTTCTTGTGACAACCATAAAGGAACCTTTGGAGACAATGTAGATTTATATCTGTTCCATATGGCACATCTACTAAAAGGTTTTTTAAAATCTACATTAACTTTAACTTTATTCTACCATAAATAGCTGTGCCACCCAAATCTTAAGTCATGCTCCTCTAGTTCCAGTAACCTCCTATTTTTCAATGTCACCCACTCTTTCTTTCATCCAAACCAAACAACAAGCTGCAAAGTAACACCCTTCAAATTTGGGAGACCTAAACTTCCTCTTTCTTTAGCATCTTGTAAAATTTTATACTTAATTCTTGGTTTTTTACTTTGCCACACAAATTTAGATATATCTTTATGCCATTGTTTAAATGGAGCATCAGTTGTCATAATTTGAAACATATTATTTGAAACAAAAATAACATTCTCGGTATTACTTAATCCTAATTACTGAAAATCTTCTCAGCAATGACAATTGTAATTTTTCCCATCTTAACATATCTTTTTTAATTTCATTCCAAGTCTTAACATAATTATTTTGAAACAACATACAATTACTATTTGTCAAATTCACCCCCAAATATATAACCCTTTTTTTCTACCTTAAAATCTGTTTTGTTCATCACTGAAAATCTTCTCAGCAATGACAATTGTAATTTTTCCCATCTTAACATATCTTTTTTAATTTCATTCCAAGTCTTAACATAATTATTTTGAAACAACATACAATTACTATTTGTCAAATTCACCCCCAAATATATAACCCTTTTTTTCTACCTTAAAATCTGTTTTGTTCATCTGTTCTTGTTCTTGTATCCTCATATTTTTCATTAACATTTTAATCTCTTGTTTATTAATTTTAAAACCAGCCAAAGTGCAGATTCTTTCAACTTTTTCATTGAAGCTTCAATCCCCTTCAGGGGGCCCTCCAAACCAACACCAAATAGTCCGCAAAGGCTCTCAATTTATGTCTCTTCCTTAATTTTTATGCCCCTTATCTTCTCATCTCTCCTTATATCTCTATTCAAAACTTCCAAAATTAAAATAACAACAAGCAAGACAGTGGCAGCCTTGTCTCATTCCTTTTTGTATCTCACGTGATTTAGTTAAGTTTCCATTCACAATAATTTGCACTTTCTGTGATGTATAAATCAATTTCACTCCTTTTATAAAATTCTCTCAAAAGTTTGTATCTTCCAAAACTTTAAACATAAAAAACCAATTTAAATTGCCAAAAGCTTTCTCTGCATCCAAAAAGATTGCTGCAGCTTGTTTTTCATGATGTTGTTCCAAATATTCTATAATGTCCACCACCATTCTAACCTTATCTTTTAATTGTCTTTTAGGTAAAAATCCACACTGATCTTCAGGAATAAATTCTTGTAATATAACTTTCAACCTATCAGCTGAAATCATTGTGAACAGCTTATAGTCATTATTCAATAATGATATTGGTCTGTAATTTTTAGTTAAAGTCAAATCTTGTCCTTCTTTAGGTAATAATGCACTTTTGGCCTCCTTCCAAGACTGGCATTCCACCTTCCATCAATATAAAATTCATCATAGGTTGGAGCAGTTGTAGAATTTCATCCTCAATTTTTTTATAATATGATCCTGGAAGCCAATCTGGTCCTGGTGCTTTACTTGGTTTAATCTTTTTAATACCTTCAGATACTTCCCTTATTGTTATAGGACTGTTCATAATCTGTCTCTGCTTATCTGAAGGCAAATTTTGTTTTTTTTAAATAGTAATCTATTTTTTCTAAGGAAATATCTTGTCTTTTGTATAAATTAGAATAATATTGATAATTTTTTTGTATACTCTCATTGTCCGTTATTACAGTTTCACCCTTTTGAAGTTATATAATCATTTTCTTTTCTTTCTCCTTTCTTAATTTATATACCAACCATCTCCCCAACTTGTTTGCAGATTCAATTTTTTTTGTTTGGCATAGCTTATCTTTTTTTCTAGTTCTCTGTTAACATAGATAGCTGTTGCTGTAAAAGTTTAATTTGGTTTGAAATACTTAACTTTTG